TCTCTCTCTCTCTCTCTCTCACCTTTACATGGAAAACAGTCTTTTTTGGTACAATGCGAAGCCTATGTCTCAGAAGTCGTGCGGTTGTGGACCGGTCCCTCTCCTCTGGTTGGGAAGAAGTCCACTACGTGATTTTTTTGGACATATTGCGAAGCTTGCATTCGAAAAGGCCATGTGGTCGTGGACCTCTCTTTCTCTCCCACTATTCCTCTCCCTCTCTCTTTCTTTCTCTCTCTCTCCCACGCTTTGGAGACTTTGCTCTTGCCCCGGTTTCTGCCTCCTCCCTCTCTCTCTCTCTCTCTCTCTCCCCCCCCCCCCCCCTCTCACTCTCTTCCTCTCCCTCTCTCTGTGTCTCTCTCTTTCTCTCTGTCTCTCTTTCTCTCTCTCCCCCTCCCTCATTCCTTTTGATGGGATATAGTCCATGACCATGTGAGTTATTATCTCTCTCTTCCCCATCCCTCCTTCCTTTAGATGGGAAATGGTCTACGACCATGTGAGTTATTTGCTGCAATGCGAAGCCTGTATTCCCAAAGATCACGTGGTCGTGGACTGCTCCCTCTCTACTGGGTGGGAAGAAGTCCCACGGCCATGTTGACTTTTTGGACACTGTGAAGCCTGCATTAAAAAAAGCCATGTGGTCGTGGACTGCACCCCTCTCTCTCTCTCTCTCTCTCTCTCTCTCTCTCTCTCTCTCTCTCTCTCTCTCTCTCTCTGTGTTTCTCTCGCCCTTCCTCCTTGAGATTGAAAAGCGGTCCAAGACTACATGACTTTTTAGGTACAATGCGAAGCTTACGTTTTCAAAGGCCACACGGTTGTGGGCTGGCCCCTCTCTCCTGGGTGTGAAGAAATCTACGACCACGTCTTTGTGAACACAGTGTGAAGCTTTTATTCGAAAACACCACGCCATAGTTTACCCCACCAATCTCTATCAGTTTGCCTAACATTTTACTTGTGACTTTGGACGTGCAATTGTCTGGCAACGGTATTTGTGGTTGAAAACAGAGCATGAAGAAGTTGAAACGAGAAACATAGATGTTTCAAAGAAGAGGTGTGGAAATAAACAAGGCATGTGCCTTAACAAGTGGAATAAACAGTGAAAGGATAAACTGTCTCCGCCTGTGAGTAAAGAAGAGTAGTGTATCCATATCAGTATTTCCTGCCTGTTTAGTGAACGACTGTTTTTTGGAAGTCACTCGGTCTGACTTGCTGTCCTCTGAGTGTGGACCGTTTTGTCCATCCTTTGTTTTTTTTCTCGTCTTGTCTGTGGAAATGTGGAACCCTCCTCACCCTTTGACTTCGGGTCTGTAAACAGATTAGCGTGCGATTGGGGGCATGCTGCGGTGCATGAGAGAGGTAAGGCGATTAGGAGCATCTGATTGCGCGTCGCTTTCCTAGGCGTGCCTCGTGTTCCCAGTTCGTTTGTCCACACTTCTTCGTGAATGATGAGTTTCTTATGCATTCCCTCCGGTTGCCGCACTGGCAGTAAATCGGAGGAAGAGATGTGGTGTAAAGACAAGGCGAGCAATGGTGGAACTCTTCATCAGCAGCGTCATTCCCCTCCAGGCGTGTCGTTGATGCCCCTGGAGCAGGATCTTGGCCGTGACCGGCGTCAAGGCCCTGGTGCTCGCTCCTGTGCGGGCAAGAATGGGAGGAGCCTCTCTCTCTTTGGTAATCTCGATTCCTCTGCTTGTGCGGTCGGAGGGGCAGTTTCGGCGGATAAGGTGCCAGGGGGGAGGAGGAGAACCGGTGCGGTCACTGCCCGTCTAGCACCTCTGACGTATCCCTTGCCTGCAGGGGCGACGCCTTCCTTTGAGAGCATTCCGGAGTCCGAAGAAGACGCATTTCTAGAGACTGCGGATACGGCGAATAGCAGTGGTGACAGGCAGGGTAAGGTCAACGTGTCGAGCATTCCTGGCATACGTACCCTCAGAGGGTCCTCATCGTGCGCGGAAGCAGATGAGAGCCGTTGCGCGCTAGCACCTGCGAAGCCCCTCAGGACAGTGGAGACTAGCGTAATGTTATTCCAGAGTGGGCTACCTGATGCATTAACGCCGGTTCCAACTACGTTGCCATTTGTGCAGGATGCGGTAGGGCATCTGCCGTCTTGTTCGGGTAATGCCATGTATTCTCCTATATTCGTCGAACTCTTCACAGCGCAAGGCTGCAGTTCTAGTCCTCGTGCGGATCACATCCTCTCGAGGCTAGGTAAAGTGCCAATGTACGCCACAACGAAACCGCAGCAAGTGGCTGTTATTCCCCTCGCGTATCACGTTGACTACTGGGATTGCCTTGGCTGGAATGACCCTTTCGCGAGCCAGAAGTGGACGGCGAGGCAAAAGAAGTATGCTGAGAAACTATCTCAAAGAACCGTATACACGCCTCAGCTCGTTGTTCAAGGGCAGATGAATTGTGTAGGGTCGAAGGCGGACGACGTTCATAACCTATTGCGATGGGCACCACGTTACATTGCCCCCGACATTAAGGTAAAGTAATTTCCATCATTCAGCACTGCTCCCTCCCTCCTGAATGGCCCTGACGTTAAGGTTAGTAGGTTGCCATGAGTGAGCGTTGTTGGAGAGACGCTGCTCCCTCCCTCCTGGCCTCGCCCTTGCGTTGTCAGCGAGCGAAGACAGCTCTTTATCGGAAAACTTCGTCTTGAGAGGACATTTGTGGACATTGTAGTATGGCGAGAGTCCTCCTGAGTGCAGTTTTGTATTGTTTTTGCTCGATATTGTATACCAGTGTTCCCTTTGATGATGTAGTTGTGCCCTTGAGTATCGATGCCCCTTGTTGCAAGTGCATGGCGCCGCCGGTTAAGAGTGTCTGTTTAGAGATGAGGGATTCTGGGCCCGTTGAGTACGAGATGTCCCCGGTATGGTGCAGCTTCGTTGCAGGTTGATTGGTGAAGACATTGTGGGTCGACGAGGGCGATGCTCGGAGCTTTGATTTGCCGATCACAAATGTGGGACGTGGTAGGGGCATCCTCCACAAGACCTGTCCTTGCAGCTTATAACCCTGCTTCGTTGACAGTGCCTGTGTTCACAGAGCAGTGAGCAATTGGCATTCGTGGGTGTGTGTGGCGATGGTCAGTGAAATCGACAAGAAGGGCGATGATAGCGTGGTATATATGTAGTGGGAGAAATTGGGGGAAGAGGTCAACCAAATCTGCAATTGCATTGTGTGCCATTGTTTGCCGCTCTTTTTCGCTGTTCGTAACCATTACTGGGAACTATGGTTGCGGATGAAATTGTATTTGTCATTATTATTAATTTTGTCTCACGGGCAGATCTTAGATGGCAGAGGATGTGTGAGATTTTTTTTTGGTCAACAAATGCGGTCTCGCGTTAATCCTCTATGGTTCAATTTTCTGCAGTGTCTTCCCGTGTCGTTCACCCACGGAGAAACGTACCTTGGTATTGTCAGGTTATGTCCATCAATTGGCTTTTTGTCTTCGGATTGTACCTCCCAAGTAGTAGCCCTGGCATTGTCACGTGGTGTCCTCGTTGGCTTGTAATCCGAAGTACCTTTGTGGTTGTGTAGTAGGTTTTTTCCGAATTGGCCTTCATTGTTTGATGGTGATGAAATTTACGTTGTTGATTATCGCCTTCTAGCAGGAAACATGCGGGGGTTTGAAATGCAATTAGGTTTGAAATGCAATTAATTCATTTTGTGCTCGTTCTGCTGCAGATCGACTCCATGAGGGTGAAAGTTTCGAGCATTAAAATCACAATGAGGGCGAGACTATTAGCGGATGTGGAGGGAGTTCAAGTCCTGCGAGTGAAGGTAGCCCTGTACGAAAATGGTAACATGACGTCGGTGACGGGAGGAGAGAATGCGGAGAAGACTCTTTGGAATGACCGCGTCGTACGCGGCATGCAGCGCGCTTTCTCCATCTTCGGAGTGGTTGACGGAACCTGCTCCAAAGGCACCGTGCGGTTCAAGACATGGCCAGAGTTCAAGCAGCAACGGTGCGGCATTGTTGTTTTTATTCAAGATCCGGTGACTATGCGAGTCTATGGCTGTCAGCAATTCGCTATTGAGAACCGGTGATGACCGGATGTCAGAACCCGTTGTCGTAACTGAGAGGGCATCAAAGCGCAAACAACGGGGCTGCGGCACGGCCACGGTGCAGTACCAGTGGGGCCATGATGCAGTACCAGCGCGTGCTTGATTTTCAGGCGTTCATGGTTACGGTTCTTGTTTTGTTTTATGGATAGGGTGTGTACATAGGTCCACGCCATGTGCTGCGTTCTTTGCTCGAAAGCACAGGATTGGTGATGGGCGATGGTGAGGTCCGTGCGAAGTGCAGGTAAGTGGCATGTCGTAGGGTCCTCTTCGGTAGACGGGCACAGGTTGATTAGGCGTCTTAACGCCGACAATGGCGAGCCTTCGCCTCGTTGCGCCCCTCGATCGTTGTTGAGAGAGAGAGAGAGAGAGAGAGAGAGAGAGAGAGAGAGAGAGAGAGAGAGAGAGAGAGAGAGAGAGAGNGAGAGAGAGAGAGAGAGAGAGAGAGAGAGAGAGAGAGAGAGAGAGAGAGAGAGAGAGAGAGAGGATGAATCATCCTCGAAGATAGTAAGGACCTCCGTGAGCTGACATTGTGTGCCTGTGCCAGATAGAATTAGTGCCTGTGACGTTGCCTGTGGAGCACTTGGCATTTGGCTGAGGTATCCGCAGTAGCCATCATCAGACTCCAGGCACTAGGATGATGTGGTAGTCGCTTGTAGTGGTGGGGTTATCCTCGTGTGTTGAACCAATGTAAGCTGGTGACGTCTTTAGCGTACTCGGACAACAATTTTCGTACAATGGAGGGTGCATAGAATCTATTCTGGGGCGAGGCGTCGGCTTTCGCTCGTTCTGACATCGAGAGAGATGTCGTAATTTGCAGGTAGTGGGACTTCCTCCCTTTCGAACAGCTCGAGTCTTGGCCCGGGACACTTGTCAAGAAGGCTGCAGTGGTCCATACGGTTGCATTGCAACCTGTATACCGCTCCCCTGATTGAACCCAAGGAGCGACGTTGTCGATTTCCTGGTCCAGACGATGCCTGACAATAGGATGGTCCTATTCGTTCGCTTTTACGCCCTTTCGTTTGTGCTACTGCCGATGTTTGGCAGGAGAGTAGCCATGTCGCCTGCGCCTCACTCTTTGTTTTTCTTTATCGTCCTTTTTGTGAGACGATAAGCGGGCTGCTGAGTTTTTTTTGGTCCATTCTTTGTTTTTTTTGCAATATGATGGAACTAGGCCCATGGGAGGGTATGCCCTCGTGTAACATTAGCATTGGTTATGGAGGAATAAGGCTCTACCTTGTCACAGGGCGATTCCTCAAATATGCCCGGGACTGCAGGGTGACCACTGATTCAGAGATATTGACGACATGCAAATGCTTAGGCGTCGAGGTAGGACAGCATGCTGGTCTCTTCCGGGATCCGAAGCATCCAGGGATGTATGTCCAGTTCTCCTGGGAGGATGTGGCCAAAAGGGGTGGGGCAAAGAGCCTGCCAATCTGGAATCAGTGTGGCCAAAGAGGCCAAAACTCATGCGAAGAACGAGATAGAGATAGGTTCGTAGGTTTTTATGTGAATTGCCAGGCAACCATACGTGGCAGTGCTAGATAGATGGGAAAGGGCAAGTTCACGTCTTGCGCGTTGGCAGGACTTGGTGGGGGAGGCTTTTTTTTTACGGAAGCCTGAACATTTGGAATGTGAGACAGGTTACTTTACCGCCGCGTTCTGCCATTTGTTCTGCTGCAGAATGAATGCAGCATCCCTCACTTGGAAGTGGAGGTCAAAAGGTCTGTAATAGTATAGCTCGAGGTGAGGGTATGCACTACGGCTTTGCGGATGGACGACGAAGGGAAGAAGTGGGCCGAACTGGCTGTGCTAGACGCGACACGCTTAAAGCAGGCTTTTGTTCAAGAACACGAGGGGACTCAAAGTGAATCGCTGTGTTCGGGACCGAGAAGCGCGGATTTCCTGGGGCTGTTCGGAAGTGCATGTGGTCGGAGGGAGTGTCAACGGAGTCGATGTGGATTGCACGAAACAAGCGGGCTCGGTACCATTCTGTGTGAGAATTAATGTTCTCTCTAAATTCACTTATGTTTGAGCACCTTCATCTTTTGCACAATTGATTTGACTTTAAACCAGGTTCGTCCAGCGGTTTCATCCAGTACCCGGCGTCGACGCCCCCGAGAGGGGAAATGCAATGCTGCTTTGTATAGGCCACAAGTTTCGACTGTGAAGGTCAGCGTTATTTCTTAGTAAGCCCGTGGGCGTGGGCGTGCGGGAGGTCGACAGAAGCGGGGATGGAACGCGCGGTTGTAAAGTAGGGTGGATGATGGTAGGAGGTGATAGCTCTCACAGGAAGCGCCGTATGCATTCCTTCCTGTCAGTTCATGTCAAGGCTTGAAAGAGGGCGACGTAGGGAACACAAAGGAGGAGAGATTGTTTGAGGAGGGGGATAGAACTGTGCGGAAACGTGCACGAGTGTACAATATGTTAGCGCAAAGTTGTTTACCCAAACTGCCGACGAGGAATCTCAGTTTTAAGAGGACAAATCCCGCTTTGGCAGTCGTTTGGGAGGTGCAATTTTTTGCACGGATTCCTCCCCCCCCCCCCCTGTAGTGTTTTGTAGTAGTTAGCATCCTTGTCCCGCCGATGAAGGTGCCCCTCTCTTTGTCGGACGTTTTTCTCAACTGTCAGCTCGATTGTTCCTGATTAATCTTTTCTTGCGGATTCTGTGTATATCCGATTTTCCCGTTCACTTTCCTGTTTTACCCTCCATATCCTCGTCAGTTCTTCTTCAATCGGAGTTTTTCTTTACTTCCCTTTATTTCATTCCTGCTGGTCTCGGGCTTGTATGTTCTTTCTGTTTCCCCCGCCTTTCGGTGATTTCTCTGTGGTATGCATTGTAGATGTGTCCGTCCTGCTTATGGCAGATGTAGCATAGTGACGTACGTGCGTGTAGCGAGCACAAGGCGACGACTGCGATGGAACAAGCGAACATGGGAGCTGACAGTCTCTTCTCCAGCAAATCCTGAGGATCGTCTTCAGTGTTCTCATTTCATGGTTGCGGGGTTTCTTAGCTGCAGTCAAAATATATTGGGGTTGTTGAACCGAGTACGTTTTGTAAGCTGGGTGAGGTCATCTGAAGATTGCTTCTGCGACCGGCACTTCTATTTCGGTTGTGAACAAGGGTACGTTTGCTGATGTGTTTTTCGCCAATGAGCGTAGCACATTTTGCCGCATAGGTGGTCTTTACAGCTAGGCGAAATGGCCGGGGGGACCGCAGCAGGCTGGAACCCGTTGTGCGCATCAGCAGCCTATCTGAAAGGTTGTTTCGTGTGAGGTGCGTGAGCACTAGGGTGGACTACTGCACAAGCGGAAGAGGAGGAGGGTAAAGGGTGAGACAGGTAGGGATTGTGTGGAAGGAAAAAACAGCGAAGGCCAGGTGATGATGTTGGAGGGTAATCAACAGGCAGGATCTCTCTGCTAATGCATCAAAGGGTGAGACAGGTAGGGATTGTGTGGAAGAAGAACAATGAAGGCTAGGTGATGATACCGAAGGGTTATCAACAGGCAGGCACTCTCTGCTAATGCATCAATGCGGCTATTTCGATTGTCAAAAATGCTGTGGAATTCATTTTTCTTGGATCGACGGCAGGGCAGAGCAAGAGAGATCAGTATCGGCTACTTTCATGTGACTTTCTGGTGTAGATCATGCCGACCTTTGCGCACGCTTTGCCTCTAGGTCACTTGGACGGCCTCCTTGAATTTTGTGGACACGTCGAAACGTGGTCAGATGCTTTACAGGCACTGGGGTGTGCGGACAGGCACCGGGGTGTGCGGCTGCCGTAGCGTCTTGCTGCGTTTGCTGTAAGGTTTTGGACCCATTACCTGCTGCTTTCAGTTTCTTGTATGCCGTTCAAGTTGTGGAAGATAATTGCTTAGTCTAGCAGTAATGAGCTAGCGACCGTGTGGTCGCAATATGCGGATCCATTTAGCAACTACTATTCGAGTCTTTTGACGATGAATCGTACAGGAGGCGGCTTGTGAACTTCACACGAATGAAGAATTGTGTAAGCAGCACACATCAGTACACTCGCAAGGCGTATCTTTCCAAATGAAAATTGTCCCAAGTTATCTTGGATCAATCTGTGCGGGGCCTTATCCGATCTCCCGTCTCGTCAGTGTGTGTGTACTTCACTTTTAGTAATATGCAGTACGCATTGTAGCTTAACGTCTGATCAGCACTCGTCGATGCGTATAGTTGCGACTGAGAATGGTTCTTTCGAGATTGCTATGTCCTTTTCGTCAGTTTGTGTCGGCTCTGACCTGGTCTACCTCTCGTCAGTGAGTCTGTACTTCGTTTTCAATAGCTAGTGAGCCGTTTTCAATAGGTAGTGAGCTGGCATGGGGAGAAGGGCTCACAGTGGTGCAGAATGTGTTAACCACAATGGAGAGGGGACAGACTAAGGTGCATGGGTGTCGGAAGTGTCTGTGTGTGTGTGTGTGTGTGTGTGTGTGTGTGTGTGTGTGTGTGTGTGAGAGAGAGAGAGAGAGAGAGAGAGANGAGAGAGAGAGAGAGAGAGAGAGAGAGAGAGAGAGAGAGAGAGAGAGAGAGAGAGAGAGAGAGAGAGAGAGAGAGAGAGGAGGGCGGGGAGGGAGGGAGAACATTGCGAGGGTCATGCTTTTTGCTCTGATGAACTTCAGCAACCTTTGAGCAGACAACTTGACAGGACAAAGTGAACTCGGCCTTTGGGCTAAGATCAAGTCTAGTATGTGTTCTGATCAGTTCAATATCTGATCCGTGGTCCATCGGACCACATGAAAATAAATAAATAAATAAAGGGTACTGCGCCTCTATTCTTGAATTCCGAAAAATCAAGTGAAACTCCGACGAAACAGTTTGTCACAGCCCCTCGTTTGTTGTCCTCTTCTCCCTCCCTCTCTGCCTACGGTTTACCGGCCAGTTCTGTTTGACGATGTATGTACATATGTACTCGTTTGTTGTCCTCTTCTCCCTCTCTTCCTATGGTTTACCAGGCAGCTCTGTTTGACTATATATAGGGTTCAGCCTCCTGATGAGACTGTGAAACTCCGACGAAACAGTTTGTGACAGCCCCTTATTTGTTGTCCTCGTCTCCCAGATTCCAAACACTCATTTATGAATAGCCCGCCATCCATCCATCCATCCATCATTCCCATCCATCCGTCCATCTGATGGACAGATGGGGGCATGGATGGATGGGAGGACAGATGGAGGGAGGGACAGAGGAACGGATAGAGGGAAAGAAAGGAGGGGCAGATGGATGGAGGGAGGGAGGCATGGACCTAGGGATGGATGGATGGATGGATGGATGGATGGAGGTACGGAGGGAGGGATTGGGCGGCCATCCGTCCATCCAACTTTTCTTTCTATCTAGCCATATTGAACCATATTGAATCTTATCTATCTTCAGCCTACACAGAGGCAAGCAAGCAAGGGTGTATGAAATAAACTCGATTATTGTAGCAGAAGATAAAGTCCGTTTTCCCTTGAAAAAGGCAGCAAGCAGCTAAAAGCGAAAAACAGCCATTTCTTTAGGACGAAAATCGTCAGAGTCGTAAAATTTGAAGTCCACATGGAGGGCAGGGATACTCAGGGGGAGCCAAGGGTTGGGGGAGGATGTTAGAGGCACAGAAGCTATGAAGGAGGCAGGCGGTGAGAGAAAAGCTACAAATATAGGCTGCAAATATAGTCTGTTTGGGTACTCTATCTGGGGGATGTTCGTGGGTTGGCCATGCAAGGGGGGGGTGGTGGTGGGAGGGGAGGAGGCTGGGGGTTGAGAACGGGGATATAAAGGGGGGGATACAGTGGCAGTGGACGGCGGGTATCTTAGAAAAGGGATGGCGACAATGCCTCGGTACCAATGGTAGTCCCCCGGTTGCGCACTAGCTGCTATCAGAACTCTCCCGGGGCTCATGATATTCGTCCTTTGATATGTTCTGTTTATATTCTTGCTTGCCGGGGATAAGCTACTGGACTGCCCCCCCAAAGAATAGAATGCTCTGTGTGTGCGTGTTGAAAATAAAATAAAATAAAATTGACATTTTAATAAAGTTAGTTGGACGAAATAGGGCACAGCAGCGGTGGAGATGGTGGCTCCGTCGTGACAAGTCTTGCCGGAGTGAGGCTAGGGATAGATGAATGTTTCCAGTGGAGGATCACATTGCAAACTGACATATTACAGTATATCGGGGGGTTTGGATCCCTCTCCATCCGTTCATGGATGTTGAATTACGGATAATGAATTCAGTATTGAAAATGATTATCGAGGAAGCTCAAATTCGTTTTTTGTGGATTTTCATTTGTTTTGTTTTCACTTTATTGACTTGTTATTGTTCCTCATGAAAATTTGTTTTTTTATTAGCTCTCAGCGCATGAGGGAGTTGGAGGTCTTTGAACTGCAGCTATGGTGGTGATTGGTCGTTCGCTCGACGTTCTGCTGATGCCGTTTGACGTTCTGCTGATGCCGTTAGACCCATAGGTCGGCGAATGGACGAGGCCAGAACGACTCTGGTCGGGGCTGGGGCTTGGTATGTGTGGGTATGAGGCCTGGTAGAGAGATCTGGGGAGTTGTCGAGGGTGGAAGGCACTCCAGTGTCCATTGGCGAGCTGGTACATACACGACGTTGGCCGGAGCCGGGGCGGGCGGGTTGCTCCGCCCTGTAACCTAGCGTGGAGGATTGTTTTGGAGTGGGTCGCGCTGCTCTGTAACCTAGCAGTGGGGGTGTGAGGCCAGGTAGAGACTAGGTATCGAGGATATGACGGCTGAGGCAGGCTGAGGTGGGGCTGTTAAATCACACTAAGGTAGTTTGTTCTCTGGCCGAAAACTCTCATGGGATAATGATCGAGGTTCTCATAGTTCCTTCGAATGGTAGCCAGAAAAGAGACTTCTCATTTTTATTCTAAACTTTAGCCTATTTCATGAGGCCCTTTGCTGAATAGGCTAGTAATTGCTCATGACCCTTAAAAAAAAGGGTTATCTCAGCCAGAGCCGGGCAATGGCCCCTGTGTACATATTACATTTCATAAAACCGAAAAAAAAAGCCTATGGTTGGATTTCGTGAGGAAAGGGGGGGAGTTAGAACTGGAGGATGGGAGGTAGTAAGGGGGCTTTCAACAGGGGAGGGGTTATTTGTTAAGGTAAGTAGGTTAGAAGGATGATGCTGGGACGACACAGGCTGGTGCCGGAGTTTTCACTCTGTGACCTAGGGGGAGCTTGAGGCCTGTGGAGTTATGTCGGGGGTGGAAGGCATAACCAGACCGCCCGACGTAGCCGGCGCCGGGGTATTACCCTGTAACCTGGTGTCAGGGGCCTGCGTCTAAGGGAGATGTTGAGGGAGGAAGGCACTTCCTGTCCGTCAGAACAAGGTTGGTCGGTACTGGGAAAGGTTGTGGTGCCCTGTTACCCTAGCAGAAGGGGGTATGAGATCAAGTGAGTTCTGGTACGAGGACTGAAAGCCTGGACCGACGTTTCATCTGTTAAGGGGGGGAGGTTTGGATACAGGCGGGCTCAGTTTTGACCCTCCGGTTTTCTGAATTTTAGGATCGACCATAGGCAGATGGTATTTTTGTTGTCGGTACTTGTCTTAGTTTCTCAGCCGAAGCCGGCTAATGGCCCCGGTATCTCACAATATCTCACATTTGGTTCATAGGCTCACATTTGGTTCATAGGCTAGTAATTGCTCACGAATGATGATCCTATTTTCAGCCGAAGCCAGGTAATGGCCCCGGTATCTTTTTTTTTTTTTTTTTTTTAACAAAAACTTCATATGCGAGAGATCCCACTTGAGGAGATGATAAGAGCTGCCCCGTTAAGTGGGTCCCGACGTTGAAGGCTCCATCGATTGATGGGGAGCCACACCTGCTGGAAATCGGGTCCAGTGTCCCTTATTCAATGATGTAAAAAAAAAAGACTCTGTTCAACACAACGCCAATGCTTGGAACCCTTTAGCACCAGCAGAAGAGAGGAGAAGTTGTAGCAGGGCGAAGGGGGTCGAATGAAATCAACATTTCGACACAAGCCCTAAAAAGTTAGCCTAAACCGCATCTCCCATTTCCCAGATTTGACACTACCACCATGAAAGGGGGGAGCGCCAATAGCTAGAGTAGAATGATCTTGTTAGCAATTTAGCAATTATGTTTGGACGTGGGTTGGAAAAAAACGAGTAGATCCACACTCCCCGTACCTCCATACCTCGTGGTACCACTCATTGCATAAGGTGTTGAAAGCGAGAGCTTCCTAACAAACCCACATCACCACTCTTTTAGTTAGTATATCAGCACTGTCGTGGGTTATCTGCGATGAAAAATCGACGGCTATCGATAGAAGGGGACATCGAAATAGTGACATTACCAGATAAGGAGGACAGAACAGAGCACCCCAACTCGCAAATCTCAATCACCCATCCTCCACTATCCATTCCTGCTTACCCAATACCTAATGGCTCCATCCCCACCACCTTGGTGAGTAAGGCTGTCGACGATATGGAGTCCTGCCAGCCATCATCAATACGAGACCCTAGGTTGCCCCAGAAGAGACCAATCCCATCAGACTCCAAATACGTACTTGTACCAAACTCATTAGCATCAGCCACGTCATCGAAGGAAGGCAGGTTGCAGGGAAACCCTCCTGTACTTAAGCCATCAAACAAGATGTAACCTCCCCCCCTCCCAACAGAAAGGCGAGCTCAGTTCGCGCCATGCGGGGCGAGAGTGTAGGAGTATTGTTGTTGTTGTTGTTGTTGTAATCGTGGTTGTTGATGTCATCGATGTTAGTGTGATCGGTGTTGTTATCCTCCGCGATGATCCAGGTGTCGCACGTGCCTCCGATGTTATCCTCACGCCCACCAGGTTTACCTTCATCAGTGCACTTGGTGCAGTCCTTGCAGCCACCAAAGTTGTTGGTATTGTTGTTGTTGTTGTTGTTGTTGTTGTTGTTGTTGTTGTTGTTGTTGTTGTTGTTGTTGTTGGTGGTGGTGTTGGTGACCGTGTTATAGTCGTCGTCAATGATGCAGGTGCCGCCAAGGTAACCTATGTTGTCCTCCAACTCCGTACGGAGGGCGACACCCTCTTCGAAGAGGGCATAACAGACATTAAGCAGCTCATCCGCCTGGCTCCAATCAATGATGGGATCGAGCTGAGAAGCTGGCCCCTCTTCCAGCTCCCAGATGATCACCAGCATATCTTGGCTCCTACCAGCCAGCCAGAAAGGCAGTGAAATCGCCCCCCTGTCAACCTCCGTCCCCTGCTGCTTTTGGAGAGACAATTCACCCACGATCAGTTGCGCCTCCGCCGACCCCTTTCCAGAGTACATAACCACGCCGGTGCTCCACGATGCAACTCTCCAGGTGAAGCGATAGTTGGTTGTACAGACTACGCCGCTTAACTTGTGAGGTACTTGATGCAATCTCATGTCCGGCACTGCCCCTGCTTACGCGTCACGGTGCCTCCACGACACCAAACAGTAGGTGTGCCGCGTGGCAATCAAGAGCGCAACGTGTCCTATTGGGCATGTACGGATGGCCCCGGTATCTTAAATTCTTCTGTATATGTTCTCAAATATGTTTCAAATGGGATGCTGGGCCCGGTTCACAGCATGTGCGGCTCCCCACGAATAGATTGGAGCATCCCCCCCCCGCCCCCTTCCCCACGAAAAAAAATAAAAATAAAAATGAAGGAATATATTTTTTTGTGTAAAATTGAAACCAACTTATTTGGCAGGACAAATGTCAATGTTTTTAACTTCCGAGGGTCTGGCGTTCTTAAATGCTGAAAAATGCTGGACCTCCCTTGATCTATCTGGATTTCAACTAAGCCCAGACACAATCCGTTGGTCAGACGCCCGACCCTCAGG